ATACACACAAAAATTACACAAAACATATTTGTATAACTCAATGAATTTTTACAGAGTAGACATATTCATTTTAACTGCCATCCAGATCAAAAAATAGAAAATGAGGGGCTGGGATTGTGGTTCAGTGGTAGAGCATTTGCCTAGTGCTGGTGAGGCCCTGGGTTTGATCCTCAGTACTACATAAACAACAACAACAAATAAAATAAAGATTAGATTCTTTAAAAAAAACTAATAAGGGCCAATCAACAACTAGAAAAAATATTTTTAAAAAGAGAAAATGACCAATGCCCTAGAAGCTCTCCTTCTGTTCCCTGTCAGTAACTGACCTTCCTCACCCTAGGTAACAGTTGTGCCAGTTTTTGAACTTCATATACATAGTTTTACATTATATATTCAAGACTGGATTGTTTTGTTCATTATAATACAACAGTATTAGTAGTTTGTTAATTTTCACTTCTGTGTTGTGTTAGTTAACTTTTCATTCCTATAACCAAAAGACCTGACAATAACAACTGAAAGTAGGGAAGGTTCATTTTTGGCTTATGGTTTTAGAGGTTTCTGTTCGCTGCCGGCTGGCTCTAAGGCAGAAACATCACAGCAGAAGAACATGGTTGAGGAAAGCTGCTTAACTCTTGGCAGCCAGAAGGAAGGGAGAGGGATCAAGGCCAAGATACAGTCTCCAAAGGCATACCCCTAATAACCTATTCCCTCCAATCATATCCCCCACCTGGATACAATTTCCATCACTGCCCAGTATTCCATTTAATTATCAGTGGATTACTCCACTGATCAGAGCAGAGCCCTTGTGATCTAATCACTTTGCAAAAGTACCACCTCTGGACATTGCTGTATGGGGGACCAAGCCTTCAACAGCTGAGACTTTGGAGAGATAATCCAGATCCAAACCATAACATGTCACATTCTTTTTTTGTTTGTTTTTTGAAAGAGAGAGAGAATTTTAATATTTATTTATTTTTTTTTAGTTTTTGGCGGAGACAACATCTTTGTTAGTATGTGGTGCTGAGGATCGAACCCGGGCCGCACGCATGCCAGGCGAGCGCGCTACCGCTTGAGCCACATCCCCAGCCCCATGTCACATTCTGTTGTGTGAACGTGCCACAATTTATCCATTCTGTTCTCAATGGATACTTGGGTTGTTTCCTGTTTTTAGCTATAAAAAAAGCTAATGCAAACATTTTTGTTCATCTTTTGGTACATAGTTGTGTACATATTTGTTAAGTGCCTACAAGTGGATTTGCTAGGTCATAGAAGTGTGTGTCAAACTGTTTATACCTGTTAGCTATAATATCTGCTGCCAGTGTAGTTATACCAATTCATGCTCCCACCAGCAGTTTATGAGAGTTCTGTTTGTTTTACTTTCTTAACAACACTTAGTATTGTCAATTTTGAGTCAGTCTTTTAAAGTTTAGCCATTCTGATAGATGAGTTATTATAATTTCAATTTTTGTGATAACTAATGAGGTTGAAAGCCTTTTAAAGTTTGCTTGCCATATAGTTGTGGTGGTGCACACCTATAATCCCAGAGACTCAGGGGGCTGAGTCAGAAGGATCACAAGTTTGTGAGTCCTGCCTGGGCAACTTAGTGAAGCCCTAAGCAACTTAGTAAGACCCTGTCTCAATTTTTTTTTTAATTAAAAATGGTTGGGATGTGCTCAGTGGTTAAATACCCCTGGGTTCTGGATTCAGTCCCTGGTATGATAACAAAAAGTTTGTTTGCCATATAGATAACCTTTTTTTTTTTTAAGGACACAATATCTTTATTTTATTTATTTTTTTATGTGGTGCTGAGGATTGAACCCAGTGCCTCACGTATGTGAGGCAAGTGCTCAAACACTGAGCTACAACCCCAGCCCCTGGATAGCCTTATTTTTAAAGTGTCTAAAGTCTTTTGTCTGGATTTTAATTGGATTGTCTTCGTTTTGTTTTGGTTTTTTAACATTTTATTTTATTTTATTTATTTTTATGTGGTCCTGAGGATTGAACCCAAATGCTTCACACATGCCAGACAAGTGTTCTACCACTGAGCCACAACCCCAGTCCCAGATTATCTTATTTTTTTTCTAATTGATTTGCAAGTGTTTATATACATTGTAGATATAAGTCCTCTTTTGTCTATGTAATTATAAATATTGTCTGTTCCATGAATTGCCTTTTCCCCCTCTTAATTATGTCTTTTGATAACCAGAAGAAGTTTATTTTTTTAATCTCTTCTTTTTTGGGGGGTACCAGGGATTGAATTTAGGGGCACTCAACCACTGAGTCACATCCCAAGTCCTGTTTTGTATTTTATTTAGAGACGGGGTCTCATTGAGTTGCATAGTGCCTCACTAAGTTGCTGAGGCTGGCTTTGAACTGGAGATCTCCTGCCTTAGCCTCCAGAGCCATTGAGACTACAGGTGTGTGCCACCATGCCAGCTCAGTCTCTCCTTTTATGGTTAATGGCATTTGCGTTTTATTTAAAATATTTTTGCCTACCCCAAGGTCATAAATATATTTACCTTTGATTTTTTTCCAGGAACTTCATAAACACATTAGATTAATTCAAAACCATTTATAGTCTACCTTTCCCATGTACAACTCGAGACAATTTAAACAAATCACTAGCTATGAATAGTCTTCTTTTTAGAAAAAGACAAATCTTGAAACAAATTTGGATATTATTACTTTGTAAGCTATGTACCAAAGAAGCACTGCATATTTAATCTCATAGTTTCTGGAAAATTTATGTGTGTCTTGTCCTTTTCAGTTGTGTTCATTTCAGTTAGAAACAGACCTTTGATAGCAGTTTCAAATCTTTAGCTTTAGTCAATATTTGAGATTTCTTCATTTGTTCCCAAATGTTTGTTGCCTTTAGCTTTAAAAAAAACTTTATATGGTAGTAAAATTAAAATATACAAATGTGTATAATTATTTACACCATTCAAGATAACATTAATTGGAATAATAGGCTTTTGGAAGAATGTTTCAAAGGAAATATCAACTCAGTATTTATAGGGTGGACTATGCCTATATATATTTATATGTATTCTTAGGATTGTGTTTATGTTTATGTTTATGAATCCTTTTACAAATAAATGACTCCAGAGTAGAACTAGGTTCAGAAGCCTTCCAGAGAAATAATTTTCGTTATTTTATGATGATATCTATGCCTATTTCTGGGGGATTTTTGTTTGTTTGTTTGTTTGTTTGTTTTAAGATAACCCACCCTGTTCTTTAAAATTACCAGGGATTGCTGGGTGCAGTGGTGCAGGCCTGTAATCCCACCAACTCGGGAAACTGAGGCTGGAGGATCAAGAGTTTGACTAGCCTCAGCAATGTGGCAAGACCCTATCTCAAAATAATTTTTTTTAAAAAAGGGCTAGGCATTGTTATACAGAATACATATATGATGATGTGATGAGAAAAAGAAAAAAAGGTGTGTCACATTAAATTGGATAGAGAAAAAGGATGGGAGAGGAGGGGAGGAGTAGGGGGGATAGGAAGGGCAGCAGAATAAAATAGACATTATGATTGATGTATGTACATTCCATGTATGTATTATATGTCAAAATACACTCTGCTGTTATATATGACTAAAAAAATTAAAATAAATCGTATGGTTAAAAAAAAAACTTAAAAGATTGCCCAGTATGCTCATTTCTTTATACAATGCTTCCTCTCTGTGTGCTCCTGAACCATAATGTTCACATGTACAAAGTTTAAATCAAAATCACCACTGCTAAAGCATATTTATAATTTCAGAAAAAATTCAATTTGTGTAATTCAAACTATTGAAGGGCTCTGTATAAATAAATAAATAGTAAAGATTACCAAAAAAAGGGGGCTAGGGACATAGAGTGCTCCTGGGTTCAATCCCTAGTACCAGAAAAAAAAAGTTGCCAGGAATTTAATAATCCATATTTCCTCCTGGTTATATTTTCTAATGCCTCACATGGTATTTAAACCATCAATTATAGAATAAGTTGTTGACACAAAAAAACTTCCATTTTTCCCTTGTTTGGTTTCCTTCGGCTTTTGAGTGTCAAGAAGGGTAAGAGGAAGTATGTGTTTGCTCAGGCCTGCAAGTTGATGTAAGAGTAGGAATTTTTCATTCTATTATGTTACCCTAGCTCAGACTTATGGTTACTGTTTATGGTTGTGAAATGCTTTCAGTTTTTGTAACTCCATAGCCTCTTGATTTAACTCATTCGTGTAGTGAAAATAATAAGTATAATAATTACTGACATTATTGAACACTAAGTTTTTACTATACACTATGCCAAACACTTTATTTCATATAATTATAATAACCAATACAAGTTTGGTATTTATTATTATTTTTATCATAATTTATCATTCTTATCCCTACATATTAGCTAAGAAAACTGAGCCTTATGCAAATTAATTGCCCAAGATCACCATACAAGTGAATGGCAGAAAAATAGGCCCATGAGAATCTAAAGTCCATGCTCTGTACCACCATCCATTATTGTTTCTGTGGTAGAAAATCATGAATTTGACTGAACTTTATCTTTGGTTGGGGATCTAGCTGTGCCTTTGTGCAGATATCACCATCTCTCAGTTTTCCCCTTTTAATTACATTTGGTGACTACTGTACCAAGAACACAGAATAATGCAACAACATTTTATTAGAATGAATGCTTGTCAGGTCCCAGGATCCATGAGGATGAATGATGCTTATCAATTTTGAATTCTTGAGTTAGGTTCAAATCCTATAGTTCTAGAAATGAGGGTTTAAACTTCTTATTTGTGTCATTAATGTCATTAATATCATTAAAGTATCAGTGTTTCACAGCAGATGACAAAACTCAATTTGTAGAACCATTTGCTTCCTAGAAAGGAATCTACCCTATCTCAGAGGGCAAAGCAGGGAATGGAAGGAAAGGGAGAGCACTGTTATGGCCTAAGTATTATTGTACTTATCCAGTCAGTGCCTGGAACCTGTCTGATCAACCAATGTCTTCCTCTTGCTTTTCTAGGGTTATATCTGAGAAAGCAAAAGAGGTTCTCTTTGTTCGACCCCGAAAGTACATCCGTTGCTCCAGCCCAGAGACTACAGAGCCTGGCTACATCAACATTCTGGAGTTGGCAGCATCTACATGCCGCTATGACCTAGATGACATGGACATCTTCTGGCTTCAGGAACTCAATGAAGACCTCGTAGAAATGGGTAAGTTATTTTCTCATAAGTAATTGTTCTTTGACTCAACTCATGAGTTTTTTTTAAGTTGTTAGAACCCTTAACTTGGTTTCATCTTGTTCCCCTTCTTTCTTTTCTGGCCTTTTTTTTTCTTTGATCTTACTTTATGAGGTATGTCTTCAAATGCATAAATGTATTGAAACAGCAATGATATTTAAATCTGACCTTTTCTTTCCTCATTCAAGGTAAATAACACAGGTCAAGGATGGCATATAGGTTTAGAGATTGTTTCCCAGTGCCGAGTGTGACTGTGGTCATGGCTGATCAGACTTTGGTTAAGAAGGATTCTGAGCTCCTGCGTTGGCCCTGGAAAGTACTCTGATCGGTGAGCAGGGTCAGGTATAAAGATACATGTGCCAGGTGTTTGAGAGAAGTTCCAACTTTAGCATTGAGCACCACTATTACAACTGATAGATTGCTATGAACAGTACCCCTTAGTGCTAGACTTATAATTTTGCTGCCCAAATGAAAAATGGCAGATCTAGGGAGAAACATCCTCCAAGCAGCTCTTAGTTTCCTCCATTGAGTTCTGGAGTTACCATACGATTTTTTATAAATGAAATAAACATTTTACTATATTTATTAAAGCAAACAAAAACTTGGAAAGAAGCATAACAATAATTTGAAAGTAAATGTTACCAGACAGTACCATATAATCAGTGCTGGGAAATGCTAGGCTGAAATGAGACTCACTTCACACTTAAACCTTTTGTTCACCTGTTTCAGTCTAAGCAGAGTGTAGGTCAAGTTTTCCTGTGGAACTGTAGGTGATTTTTAAGTCTCCATATGAGATATGATAAAGAATACATTTGATTTCATTTTTGTTTGAATCACATTTGTTTATTGTCAATTCGAGGATAAATGGTTTTTCTTCCTCCTCTCTTTTTTTTCTTTCTTTTAGGCTGGTATTTAAATGCAAGTGAAAAAATAAAATTATATTAAATCCAGTTTGGCATGGTGATAGTAGTTATTCTGCCAGTAACCAATTCTCACTCCTTGCATTTTTAAACTTGTTGATTTATATCTTCTCTTACTCTCCCCTGCAAGAGGAGAGGGGCTGGTCAATTTAGGGTGGTAATCACAAAGGGAAAGGAATAAAAGACTGACAGATGGAACATCAGAGTATGAGGACATAATCAAGTAGACTGATGGCTCAGTGCATGGTGTTACATGTAAAACATGTAGCATCGTAGATAATGCAATCACTTAGTGCTGCCTATGAAACCACCTATGACAAGGACCCTTTGATACTTTTATAACTAATTCATTTTAAATAAACTTTTTATTTTTGAATAGTTTGATTTTCAGAAAATCAGTGTAGAAAGTTCCGATGTACACCTCACACAATTTCAGTTCCCTAATGTTAGCATCTTACTTTGCCATGGTACATTTGTCAAAACTAAGAAATCAACATAGGCATATTACTGTATAATCCCATAAACTTTATTGGGATTTCACAGGTTTTTTTTTCCTATTCCTGGCCATTTTCTGTTCCCGATCCCATTCAGGATACTACATTGCATTTAGGCTTAGAATAGTTTTGAAATAGGACTTGCCTTATCTCAAGTTTTCCTTTAGGGTGAATGACATTGTAATGACACTTCTAGGAGCTTAAAATAAACTTTATAGAAACAATTTTAAATTAAGTACTTCGGGGCTTAGATTAAGGAAGTTTTAGGCAACTGGGAATTGTGGAGCATACCTATAATCCCAGTGACTCAGGAGATTGACACAGGAAGATTGGAAGTTTCAAGGACAACCTCAACAATTTAGCAAGACCTTGTCTCAAAATAAAAAATTAAAAATGGCTGGAGATGTAGCTCAGTGGTAAAGCACCTCCAAGTTTAATGCCCAGTACCAAAAAAGAAAGAAAGGAAAAAAAGAAATTTTATAAATTCAGTGCTCACTATATACTGGCACCCCACACTATGCAATGTATGAATATTATTTTATCCTCAACAAATCAGTGAATTTGTTATTTTATCCTTACTTTGTAGATAAGAACACTAAGCCCTAAAGAGAATAAATGACTTGTCAAAGTTTACATAGCTAATATTAAGTAAAGTTGGAATCCAAGTTCTCTTAATCAGATTATTATTTATACATATATTACATATATAAATATGTATATGTGTATATATATAGACATGTATACATATGTGTATATATATAGAGAGAGAGACTTGGCTGGGAAAATGAAACATAAGGCCTGGGTAGTTTTTTGTTTTAAAAGAAGCTACATTAAAAGTAGTTTGTAAGGAATTTCAAAGATCTTTAGAATATCTTACATTACAAATGAAGTAGAATTCTTGAATATTTTGTCTTGGATCATTTTGAGAATTACTCCTGAGTTTACAAGCTGTTAGAATAAATATATATGTGCTCTCACAAAATCATTAGTCCTTCTAAGAAGAAAAATGTTTAGTTGTTACCAACATCTGCCATATGAATCCTTTAGTTAAATGTGGAAGGCTAAGAGAAAATAAAAGTATAAAAGAAAAAAGGAATAAAGAAACAAAAACGTAATTTTAGAATTGCAGTCAGACCTTTATGAATGCTAATAGGTTTATATTAGTTTGCTATTGAAAGTGGTATTGAGTTTTATAAAAGTCAGGCTTCAAAAACAAAATAGTTTATATGTTTAATCATGTACACATAGTATCTATACCTTCCTTTTATGGCTTAAAATTGAAAACTTCCTTATATGATCATGAGATAAGCTTATTGCAGCTAGGTTGCTAAGAACTATTTATGTCCGAATTGTCATGTGATTTAGTTATTGTATTACACTACAAATTAAAGTGTTCAAAATTACCAAGCTTGGGAATAAGAGAAAATAGAGATTTAGGAGGAGACTAACTAGGATTTAAACAAAAAAAATCAAAGAACCTGTAAACTTCTAAGAAATATGGTAAAATGTATTACTCCTTTCATGCGTCAAACACTAATATGTATTTATAGGTAAATGTTAGAATAGCTCGAGAACAAGATTTTTTAAATTTGGAGTTTTTTTAGAACAGGGAAAAAAACATTGTTTTCTCCTCTAGAATCCTACTCACCCTTGCACTGGGCTCACGGTAGCTTATTTGGGAATGACAGCTGACTGACAGGTTGATTGATTGTTTGTATTTCTGTGCAGGTTATGGGCCAGTTGATGAGACCCTTATGGAAAAGACAGTAGAAGTCCTGGAACGCCATTGCCATGAAAATATGAACCATGCTATTGAGACAGAGGAAGGGCTAGGCATAGAGTATGATGAAGATGTGATCTGTGATGTGTGCCGGTCTCCAGACAGTGAAGAAGGGAATGATATGGTATTCTGTGATAAGTGTAACATCTGTGTGCATCAGGTTAGTGAGAGTGGAAACCGCCACCTTCCCACGGTCAGCCTTTCTAAAACTTAGTAATGATCTCAAACACCCCCACATCTGGGTAGCACTTTGCATTTAAGAGTGAAAATAAGACTTTGGCCTGACTGTTCTTCAATATTTCTTCCATAACAATACTTCTTGTGATACCTGAGATGTCTGAATTATCAAGCTTACTCCAGGAAGCTAAATCCAGGTCTTTTATTATGTTACTTTATCCTCAGACCATTGGAATTGCCTTATTCATTTCCCGCAGGGGGTTCCCATGTTGGCTGCCTGGGATTTTCTCCCTCCTGCAACATCCCAGGTTACACACATGGTCAGTAACCTGAGTGAGTTTATACTTCTTATAGGTGGAATGCTGGACTCCTCATCCTAGTACCCAAGGCCCTCCCTATCCCCAAACGTACTACTCCCGGGAAGCTAGGTCCACCTCACTTTTAGAGATCACAGAATTTTAGGACTCTGAAGGGCTATTTAACTTTTTAACTTTACATACAATATCAGGAGAGGTTAAGTGACTTTACCTAAGCTATTTTTTGGTCATTCATTCTACCACACTGACCTCTTAATTAATGATTGTCAACACTCCTTTCAGGGGCTGGGTTTGTGGCTCAGCAGTAGAGCGCTTGCCTAGTACATGTGAGGCCCTGGGTTCGATCCTGAGCACCACATACAAATAAATAAATAAAATAAAGATATTGTGTCCAACTACAACTAAAAAATATTTTTTTAAAAAAAACACTCCTTGGGCTGGGGATGTGGCTCAAGCGGTAGCTCGCTCACCTGGCATGTGTACGGCCTGGGTTCAATCCTCAGCACCACATACAAATAAAGATGTTGTGTCTGCCGAAAACTGAAAAATAAATATTAAAAATTTTCTCTCTCTCTCTCTCTTTCTTAAAAAAAAAACCACTCCTTTCAGCTCTGTCCTTTCTCCTGCCTCCACAAGCTCAGTGCTCCAGCAAAATAAGGCTACTCAAAGTACAATGATGAATATTGCTGGCACTGTCCTGTCTCCATGTTTCAGTCATGTCACAATTTAAAAATGTCTTCTCCCATCTCCAGCTATCAAAAATCTACATATCTCCCAAAATGTAATTCATCTAGCAAACACTGTAAGTGCTCAGCACCATCCATGTGCCAGGACTGGGCTGTGTGCAGAGGACACAGTCAGTGATAAAGAGGCAGATATGCTCTCTACTCCCAGGAATATCATAGTCTGGTGTAAGAACTACAAGGAAACCGCCAATTTAGCATAGTATTCCAAGTGTTTTTAAAGATATAAGTCCATGCTACTGTGAAAATGCAAAGTGGGGATAGGAGTCAAGGACAACTTGAGGGTGGCATTCATGCTGAATTATAATGGCCAAAAGGAGATGTCAGGTAAACCAGCAAGGAAGAGAGGAGAACATATAACAGGTAGTGAGAGTAAGCAAAGTGTATTGGAGACAGTTCTGAGTACATCAGAACTTCAGAGTGGAGTAGAGAAGGCCTGGAGACTGAGGGAAGAGAAGGAGACACATGTGAAGGACCTTGTGACAAATTGAGGAATTATTTATTGTTTTTTCCTGTCAACTCTGAAGGAAATGATTTGCATTTTGAAGAGATCATTCTGGCTAAAATAACTAAAATGATTAGACCAAGTAACATAAGAGATAGAGAGCAAACAGGGCTTAAGATTTTGTTTTTGCCAGGTGTGATGATCTATGCCTATGATCCCAGCAATTCTGGAGGCTGAGGCAGGAGGATCACAAGTTTAAGGCCATCCTCAGCAACTTAACAAGAACCTATCTCAAAATAGAAAGGGCTGGAGATGTAGCTCAGTGGTAAAGAACCCCCCTAGGTTCAATCCCCAATATCAAAAAAAAAGACTTTGTTTTAATTCTGTGGGCCACCAAACAACCCTCTGTATGTAAAATATATTCTGAATTTTCAATGACTAATTTAGTCTGTTTTCATTTACCTGTAACCTCTAAAATAGTGAATTTTGAAATTTTATCTTCATTCCCCTAATGATTGGCATTTATGCAATATTTTCAGTGAGAGAAAAAAAATTATAATTTAACTCTGATCTTAATGTATCACTGTCCCTTCTCTGCAATTCCAAAATTAGAAAGCTCTGAAAAGTGCACGTTTTGCTGAAGTTGTACTCTAAAACAGATTTGGGGACAATACCAGAATTCACCCAGTATGAGGCCATTTACAGTCTTTATTTATTTTGTGCAAATAATCATATACTTTGTTAGAGATACATTAACATATTCAATTATACAGTGGTGCTCACATCTCTCTTCACATAGAGATGACAATAGCAGCTGACCAGGCCTTGCAGAATATAAACTGATAATATAAACTGACATGTACTAAAGCTGGGAATTTTCCAGACATGGTAGTGCATTCCCGTAATCCCAGTGGCTCCAGAGGCTGACAGGAGGATTGCAAGTTTGAGGCCAGCCTTGGCAATTTAGTGAGGCCCTAAGCAATTTAGTGAGACCCTGTCTCAAAATTAAAAATAAAAAGGTCTAGAGATGTGATTCAGTGGTTAAGCACCCCTGGGTTCTATCTCTGGTACCAAAAAAGGGGGGGGATGCTGGGAATTTGGAATATATTTAAAGCTTCATATAAAAGAGATTCTTCCAGAGTACATTCACTTGGATCCAAAAGAGCTGCTTGTGTTAGAGCTCCCTCTATTGGCCAAAAAATGATTTAAAATGATTTGGAAAGTTCGGTATACTCCTTAACAGAATGGAAACACATTGACATCTGAATTTATTAAACATAATTTTTCTTCTTTACTTTGTGTCCAGTATTTTTCCTCAGTGACAAAAATATACTCATGGTCAGTACCTTAAAATGTGTATCGGTATAACATTTTTTTCTATAGAAAAATGTGAAAAATGACCATTCCAAATCCCTGTGTGTGTACCCATTTTCTGCTTCTTAGCCAAAATGTAGAACACTCATATTAATATCAGTTAATTTGCCTAATGTGCATGCTCTTAAGCTTTTTATATCTGTCGTGAATATAATAACTTGACATTGAGTTTATTGACCCCTGAAATTTTATGTAAAATGTAATGAATGTTATTTCTCAAACTTCACAAGCTTATTCATTTTATGGTCCATAACAGGTTAAGAATCACTGCCATGAAATGCAAGCTTTTATAATCTTATGGCCGTAAATAATTGTACAAAGGGCTCATTCTGCCCAATAGAAGATTGGCAAAAGAAAGGGCATTCTTAGAAGCAGCCACTAGCTTCTCTTCTGCCATTCTGAAAGAGGCTCTATTTTAGATAAGAAGCTTGCTTTCATTTCCTGGCAAACATTCTGTTCCTCAGTTTAGAGCAGAGCTTCAGAGGTTAAGAACCTTATAAAAATGATGCCCCAATGTCATGAGAACAGCCTATTTGGAGTCCAGCTTGAGTTCTTGAGCTAAGTTAATTCATTCTACCAAACCACCTACTTGAGCTCAGCTTGGGTGCATTAAAGGTAAATGATGATGAAAACAACCCCCAGTGACCTTAATGTCTCACCGAGGAGACAGAGCATGACAACAAAAAATGAAGAAAAAGAATACATGATGCTTACTGTATAGTTGTTGAGGGAAGTTTCATGGAGTAGAGAATGAGCGTAAGGCAGTGGAACAAACAAAAGGGGCTACCATGACCTGAGCAGGGTTTTTGGAGGGACCTAGAGTCTGAGGCAAAAGATCTGACTGTGCAAAGAGGGGTTGACTGTATAAAGCAGGGAACTGCCTAGACAGACACATGGACATGAGAATTAGAATGGCTGAAAATGTAAGAGGCCTTCCTGTCTAAGTCAGGGATACTATGTTTGGATGTGGTGGGATATGGGAACAAAAAGTGAGGTGTTGACTAGCCACAAGCTTTAGGTCAAGGGCCAGCAAATTTTTCTTTAAAGGATCAGATAGTAATTATTTTAGACTTTGCCAATCACATAGAGTCTCTACTCCATAGTGTTCTTTTTCTTCTCCTTACAACCCTGTCAAAATGTGAAAAAAAAAAACTCTTAGCTTGTTGGCCTTACAAAACACACTTCAGATAGTAGCCAACTTCTCATATAAGTAAGGGGCAGGTAAGAGCAGAAGAAATCCTGGGAGGTTTGCCTCTGTGCATTAAATATTTGTTTTAACAGAAAGCATTTGGGAGCCAAATAGCAGAAGGGTTGAATGTATGAACACAAGAGAAGAAAATTTAGAAGTAAATCAATCCAGGCATGGTGTGATGAGAACTTGGATAGAGTAGTAGTGTGGTGGAGGTGTGGAGAGGAAGGAAGGACAGAATCTCTAGGCTACTCTGTAGGGAGGAATAAGAAGCATCAAATCCAATCCATGAAGGCAAGTGGGTAACACAACTCCAGGAATTTGGGGAAGCACAACAGGATATAGAAAGAAAAAGTTTGGGAAAGGAGCAGATTTAGGAGTGAGTGAAGATATGATGGTAAATTTATAACTTGAATATGACCTGAAGCTGCATCTCCTGGGGCCTAAAGAGATTTTGAAGCTACCATATTGAAAAGGACAATGATGAATACCAAGCCACATGGAGAACCAGGTGTCCCCTAGGTTTAGTTTCAAATAGTGAGTAGAGCAGTAAGAAGGAAAAGATGAATGATTCTGGAGATTGGAAAATATTCTAGATTTCTTTTTCTCTAATTAATCTTCTACCATACCAGTTATTCATTTATTTATTTTTCTGAATTCATTCCATAAATGATTTGAAGCAGCTTCTAGAACTTATAATAGATGATTTTGATTACTGTAATGTTCTATACAAAATCATTCACAAGTCCCATTTTTTTCATTGCTGAATAATAAATCACTACATATTTAGCAAGTACACAACATACATTTATGTATCACAGTGCCCATGGGTCAGGAATCTGTACACAGCTTAGGCAGGTCCTCTGCTCAGAGTTGCAAGGGTGTAGTCAAGGTCTCAGCCGGACTGAGCTCTTATCTGGAGGCTCTACTAGGGGCAAATTTGTTTCCAAATTCAGACAAGCTGTTGGCAGAATTTGTTTCTTTGTATGATTTAAGGCCTTAACTTTTCACTAGCTGTCAACAGGCGGCCATTCTCAGATCCTTGAGGTTTCTGGTATGTCCTAAAGGACACCTGCAGTCCCTTTCCACATGTACTTACCCAACATGGCTTTTTAATTCTTAAAAAATACAAGTCCTATTTTTTGAACCCATACAGATTACTATGATTTGCTGAGTGCTTTTTATATACCAGACACTATTAGATTCTTGATTAACATTAGTTTATTTACTCTTCAGAAGTTTGTTTATTTCCTAACAGTTTTTTTCTTGATCACAATGGTGCATGATATGTAGAATATATTCAATAAGTATTTGGCTAATCAAAATACATAAACACTGAAGAAGCTTTAGAAAACAGAGGCAAAAAAATCTATATTCCCAACCCTCAGAAAACAGATTGGTCTAACCTTTGGGAGTATATTCTCCTAGTCTTGTTCTATCATCCTTAAATTCAGTTCTCTTGGTCAGACATACTGATTTTAGTTCAGATACTGGAATTTGCCTTTTTGAGTGTTTTTAAATCTCTCAGTCCTGGATTTAAACTTATTTGGCTTTATTTGACTTTCTCCCAAAAGCAGAGGGTATACTTAACCTTCTCCCAAAAGCAGAGGGTATACTTGACTGTGTAGTAGAATAGACATGGACCTGGTACAAAGATGCTAACCATTCTTCCCTCTCCTCCTCATGCCTCCAGGCCTGCTATGGCATCCTCAAGGTCCCAGAAGGCAGCTGGCTGTGTCGCTCCTGTGTCCTGGGCATTCATCCACAGTGTCTTCTATGTCCAAAGAAAGGTGGAGCCATGAAGACCACCAGAACAGGGACTAAATGGGCTCATGTCAGCTGTGCCCTGTGGATTCCAGAGGTGAGAAATTATCTGAGACTGAAGCCATTTTCTTCAGGGTAACCCACATCCAGCCCACTCCTACAGCATTTAGACTGACACAGGTTTACAGTGGAGAGCTTCATATTTGCCTATGTTTCTGAAGTAAATGCTTCCACTATGTGGGATTCTTCTTGGATACGGGTGTGTTCTGTCACGGAGCTACATCCCCAGCCCTATCTATTTTTTTATTTATTTGTTTGTTTGTTTTGGCACCAGGGATTGAAGCCAGGGGCACTTAACCACTGAGCCACATCCTCAGCCCATTAATTACTTTTTATTTTGAGACAGGGTCTTGTTGCTTAAGGCCTTGTTAAGTTGCTGAGGCTGGCTTTGAACTTGCAATCCTCGTGCCTCAGCCTCCTGAGCTACTGAGATTATACATGTGCACCACCATGCTTGGCTTTATTTTTTATTTTGAGATGAGATCTTGTTAAGTTGCCAAAGTTGGCCTCAAACTTGTGATCCTCCTGCCAAGTTGCTGGGATTATAGGCATGTGCCATAGTACTACACTGCTTTTTTTTTTTTTTTTTTTTGTACCAGGGATTGAACACTCAGGGTCACTCGACCACTGAACCACACCCCCAGCCCTATTTTGTATTATTTAGAGACAGGGTCTCACTGAGTTGCTTAGGGCCTCGCCATTGCTAAGGCTGGCTTTGAACTCACGATCCTCCTGCCTCAGCCTCCTAAGCTACTGGTATTACAGGTGTGCGCTACCACATCTGGCTAAATACCTTTAAAAAAAAAAAAGCTGTTTGGACATCTCACTCACACTCTCTCGCCCCAACCCCTATGTAAGCCAGAAAATGTGTTAAGCAGATTAACTGCATTACAAGAGACTATGGAATTCAGTTAATGGGAAAATGATGATATTGTTATTAGTATTTGATTCTCCTTTAAAATTTCTCTGGATTTAATTTTGTTATTATTGGTTCCAGAAAAGTTACTATCTAATAATCAAGCCCACAGAATTAAACTAAAAGTCCTAGATACATAATTTTGTATTCTTACAGCTATACACATATTTTTAAATATTTTTTAGTTGTAGATGGACACAATACCTTTATTTATTTATCTTTATGTGGTGCTGAGGATCAAACCCGGGGCCTCACACATGCTAGGCAAACACTGTACCACTGATCCACAACCCCAGCCCACACTTTTTAAAAAATATTAAATTTTAAGAAGTAATTGGACACAGTACCTTTATTTTGTTTATTTATTTTTATGTGGTTCTAAGGATCTAACCCAGGGCCTCGCATGTGCCAGATGAGTGCTCTACCACTGAGCCACAACCCCAGCCCCACAGCCTACATATTTTTAAAAATATTTGAGGAGCAGTTTCTTTTTCTCATTAAGAACATCCAGCTAGCCCAGCATGGTGGCACACACCTATAATCCCAGAAATTCAGGAGGATCACAAGTTTGAGGTTAGCCTTAGCATTTTAGCTAGGTCCTAAGCAATTTAGTGAGACCCTGTCTCAAAATAAAAAGGGCTGGAGAGGGCTAGGGTTGTGGCTCAGTGGCAGAGCTTTTGCCTAGCACAGTGAGACACTGGCTTCAATCCTCAGCACCACATAAAAATAAATAAATAAAATAAAGGTATCATGTCCCTCTACAACAATTAAAAAAAAAGGTCTGGGGATGTGGCTTGGTGGGTAAGCACCCCTGAATTCAATCCCTAGTACCTAATAATAATAATAATAATAATTATATCCAGCTAATAGACATGTAACATGAACCCAGGTTTCTGGCCTGAGAGTGTCTGGTTTCCAACAGCAGTTCTCCCATATCTCTTAGCTCATAAAAGTCTTTCTGACTCAGGAAGAGTTTTTTAGAAGTACAATAAGCTTTGTCAGCTGTCAACATCTCTTATGGTTTCAAACATTCTTGGTTTCCATTGCCTTTTGGAGTATTCCAGATCTGTTTCCTGATGTGGGTAGAATTTGTACTAGTTTGACCATCTTTATTTGATATTTCTTCACTTTTTAAAGTTGTTTCTCTCATAGAAAGTCATGTATTTGTAAAACAAATTGAAAATACCTTTTACTAGAAGTTGCATGGCTCATTATTTTCATGAGGAAAAGAATGTTTTCATCCTTTTCCTTTCAGCACTCTCCTAAAGACTAATTTCACTTCAAGGTACTTTGCCTGAGGAAGTAGGATAAGCTAATGGTAGTTATGTGGTTTTAAAGACTTTTGGTTTGGAAATGTTATCATCCTCATCTTTTCTCCTTACATGCTGCAATCTCTTCGTTATATAAATATTCTGCTGGTGTTTTCCAACAGTATTGTACTTTTTGTAAACCAAATATAAAGATTTGTCACTGCCTGTTTTTATCCTTATTTGATTAAATGAAATAATGAGGTATATGCCACTATCTCTGGCATATAACAGGTGCTAGATATTGTGAATTTTAATTTCCTTCCTTAGTAGCTTTCTTTGGTTCCTAAGTAAGGTAGACATCTTTGATTCATTAAGATAACCATGCCTGCTCTACACTCCTGCACTCTCATCCTATATATGAATCATTTATATTACTAGAAAAGATTGAAGGACTGAGCAGTATGTAGTTTATTTTTGGTACTGTATTAACCTTGAAAGATGTGACTTAACTCATTGTTTTGATGTTCTGAGCTTTATATAACATCATTTGTCCAGATGTGGTAGTGCATGCCTTAATCCCAGTGATTCAGGAGGCCGAGGCAGGAGGATTGCAAGTTCAAAGCCATCCCCAGCAACTTAGCAATACCCTATCTCAAAATTTAAAAATTTAGCCGAGCATCGCAATACATGCCTGTAATCCTAGTGGGCTGGAGGCTGAGGCAGGAGGATCAAGAGTTCAAAGCCAGCCTCAGCAGAAACGAGGCACTAAGCAACTCATTGAGACCCTATCTTTACATAAAATATAAAACAGGGCTGGAGATGTGGTTCAGTGGTTAAGTGCCCCTGGGTTCAATCCCCAGTACCCTAAAAGGAAAAAAAAATAATTTATGGTTTGTGAATGGTACTTCTGAGATGCATTGATGCTTCTGCCTTATGATGATATTTTGTTTCTAGGTCAGCATTGCTTGTCCCGAGAGGATGGAACCAATCACAAAGATCTCCCACATCCCACCCAGCCGGTGGGCCTTAGTTTGCAATCTGTGCAAAGTGAAGATAGGAGCTTGTATTCAGGTAAGGGCCCATGAAAAATGGTGGAGTGAGCTAAAATCAAATTGGTCAGATACACTCTCCTAGTTAAGAGTTCTATTGGGCTGGAGTTGTGGCTCAGCAGTAGAACACTCATCCAGCATGTGTGAGGCCCTGGGTTCAATCCTCAGCACCACATAAAAAATAAATAAAATAAAGGTATTATGCCCAACTACAACTAAAAAATAAATATTTAAAAAAGAGTTCTATTAACAGGAAAGTCACTCCTAGGGCTCTGACATTTTATAGACCCATTTCTGGACCCATTTTGGATGTGGCCTCTGGACTGTTCAGCTTTTTTTCAATATTCATAGTGGTTGCTGGGTACAGTGGTATATGTCGGTGTTCCCAACTACTCATGAGACTGAAGCAAGAGAATCACTTGAGCCCAGGAGTTCAAGGCCAGCCTGGGCAACATGGTGAGACTGTCTCAAAAAGAAATATTCTCCATCCTTTGCTGTCAGAGCTGATGAGTTAGCTGAGCTCTAAAGCTGAATGACAGCATCCTGGGTGGGAATAAGCTATAATTCTAAAACAAGCAACTTGTATTCTTGTGTGGCTCACCCACTAACTGTAAATGGACTTGAGCTCCAGGATGATTTGATGGTTGGCCGTTGCTGAACTAAGTAGCCATTTTAGTAGGGAGAGATGTATTTGAAAGGATGAATTCTGGTGGTTTTGAAAATCATTTTAGTAGGCACATTTATAGTGTGTGGTAATGCAAATAAGATTTTCTAGGATTTTTGGCACACAAGAACTTAGCTGCTTGAAGCAGAAGTAGAAATAGTAGCTGGTGTGATACCCAGCAGCAGTTGAAGTGGGCACATAGCTAAAACTGGTAAAGGCCAGTTATATCCAGCAAAGGCACAAAAGTTTATTCTTTGTAATCTCGATTTCCATAATGCATTTCACTTTCTATTCCAGACATAGTAAGGTGGTTCAGCAGGCAAGAGGGAAGGAAAGACTGGCCTTCCACTTCTCAGACCTCCTGCAAGTGAGCTACAGGCTGGTTAGAGTTCACTTTGCCTGCTGACTTTCTCCACAGAAAAAGGGCCATATAATGTTATAGTTTAGGACAGTGGCTCTGGGTGTTTCATAAGACTCCTTGCTGTGTGACATGACAATGTGGTTCAGGCTCATCATCTAACATAATTAAATATTTTCCCTTGCTTTTTAAACCTTTTTGGGCTGGTTTTATTTATCCTAACTATAGCACTTTAGCAATTATAAAGGAAAACTGTTTCCCTTGGATTTACTGCCCTAATATACTACCTGTTTATGTTTAAGTTCTCTTCTTGTTAATCCACATATGTGGTTCTCCTTGAGGACTAAGATTGTGCATCATTCTTCTGTGAATTTTCCCTGGCACAGAGCATAGTGTTGTTAGCATTTGATTAGTGTTTACTGAATAAATATATCCATCTTTTGTTGTACCATAGATTAGTTTATGATACACACTTTTTCCCACTTTTCAAGTGAAATATCTTCTGTTTTCAAAATTATTATTTAATCATTTTATAAGACATTGAATTTCCATCCAGTAATTTACTAATTTTCTTTATTGTGGAACCTGCATTTTCACTCTGTTTTTACTATTTTGAGAAAATTATCTTTAGGAGCTGGGTATGTAGTTCAGTGGTAGGGTGCTTGCCTAGCATGTACAAAGCCCTGAGTTCAATCCACAGCAACACAAATAATTATTTTTATAATTGTTAGTTATTGACAACATGACTGTGTCAAAATAAAGCATTGACTTGACCTTAGCAGACCTGGGTTTGCATTACAGCCCTGCATTACTACATCACTACATTCTGCCTTCTGTATGGTTATTCATCTATAAGTTGTTAGCTCAGATTTTTTTTATTTTTAGATCCCACACCCTGACGAGGCAGACAGACAGTAAATATTAGATTGATAAGTAGATGATAGATGAACAGATGGATAGAACATTCTGGAAAAAAATTGTCATCTTATTTCATGACTTAGAATTCAAATTTTTCATTTTATAAAGATCTTACCACATTGAGACTCAAGCTTTCTTTTTACAGTGTTTGGGATTGAACCCAGGACTTTATCCATGCTAGGCAAGTGCTCTACTACTGAGCTGCATCTCCAACCCAAACTTTAGATTATAAGGAATTGTATTTATTCAACATGTAGTGGTAGAGTGCTTGTCTAGCATGCATAAAGCCCTGGGTTCAATCCCCTGTACTGAAAAAAGAAAAGCAACGTATATTTATACCTAATTATGTAAAAGCATTGAGTCTGACAGTGAACCAAAAAAGAATCATTCATATACCATGGAACTTACTTTTAGCTGGGAGAAGTAGATAATAATCAATAGATATATTTTTTAGGTACTGGGGATTAAACCCAGGGGCAATTTACCACTAAGGTATATCCCCAGTCCTTTTTATACTTTTTTTTTTTTAGAAATTTTTTTTTAAAGAGAGAGAGAGAGAGAGAGAGAGAATTTTTTAATATTTATTTTTTATTTATCGGCAGGCACAACATCCCCGTTTGTATGTGGTGCTGAGGATCGAACCCGGGCTGCACGCATGCCAGGCAAGCGTGCTACCACTTGAGCCACATCCCCAGCCCCTACACTTTTTATTTTGAAACATGGTCTTGCTAAGTTGCTAAGGCTGGCCTTGAACTTGCCATCCTCCTGTCACAGCCTCCTGAATTGCTGGGATTATGTGCCACCATACCCAGAATAAGCAGTAGATATTTAATAGCACACTCAAAGGTGGTAAATGTTATGGAAATAAAAAATGTGGAGTACAGTAAGAAGATAGGGAGTATAGAGAAAGTTGCATGAGTTACAAGTTTAAATAGAGTGGTCAGGGTAGAATTCATTGTGTAAGTGGGAGTTTGATCCAAGGCTTAAAAGCAAAAGAAAGAGCTATGCAGATATTTAGGGAAATAATGTTCCAAGCGGAAGAAACAGCCATTAGAAAGGCTATAAGATAGGAGTGTGTCTGGCCTATTTGAGCAACTGAAAAGAGGCTAGTGAGATGAGAATGGAGTATGTAGGAAGAGGAAGTTAAAGGGATTACTCAGGGGCCTGATTGATTATGGCAGAGTTTGGCAATTTTTTGCTACAATTGGCCAGATACTAAATACATTAGGCTTTGTGAACCATGTATCTTGATTGCAACTACTTAAAACACTGCCTTTGTAGCATGAAGACAGCAATAGACAATACTTAAAGAAAAGAACATGGCCATATCCCAATAAAACTTCATTTTTAGACTCTGAAAATAAATTTCATATAAGTTTCACATGTCACAAAATATTGTTCTTTTGCTGGGCATGGTGGTACATTCCTATAATCCCAGCTACTTGGGAAGCTGAAGCAAGAATATCACAAGTTTGAGGCCAGCCTGAGGAACTTAGCAAGATCCTACCTCATTTTTTTTCTAATTAAAGGACTTGGGGCTGCAGTTGTGGCTCAGCAATAGAGCGCTTTCCTAGCACCTGTGAGGCTCTGGGTTCAATCCTCAGCACCACATAAAAATAAATAAATAAAATAAAGTTGTTGTGTCCAACTACAACTAAAAAATAAATATTTTTAAATCTTTAAAGGATTGGCTGGGGTTGTGCCTCAGTAGTAGAGCACTTGCCTAGCATGTGTGAGGCACCAGGGTTCGATTCTCAGTACCACACATAAATAATAAATAAAGGTCCATCAACATCTAAAAAGTATATAATAAATAAAGAACCAGGGATGTAACCCAGTGGTAAAGTACCCTCAATTCAATCCCTAATACACCAAAGAAAAATTTCTTCTCTGGATTTAAAAAAAAAAATCCTTCTATTCTTCGCTCATGGAGCACAAAAAACAAGTGACCAACTGCATTTAGTTTGTGGACGTAGTTTGCCAGCTCCTGGTAATGGCTTCCAGAAGCCTTATAAATCTTTAGTTCTTACACTGAGTTAAGAGGGATTCATTGGCAGGTTTTAGGCAGCCAATTGATAGCATTTTTTTTCAATACTAGAGATTGAATTCAGAGGCATTTTACCTCTGAGTAAATATCCCCAACCCTTTTTATGTTATTTTGAGACAAGGTCTTGCTATGTTGCCAAGGCTGGCCTTGAACTTGCAATGCTTCTGCCCCAGCCTCCTGAGTTGCTGAGATTGCAGTTGTATACCATCATACCAGCAATTTATCTTTTTTAGATATAATATTGTGGTATGAAAATAATACAGAGAACAAGGCACTGTGAGGTGAAGATGCAACAAGAATGGCCATCTACCAAAACCCACTAAAGCTGGATGGTGGGTATACAGAGAGTTTATTATATTACTCTATTATGTAGGTTTTTCCATAGGAAAAGGTTTTTTAAAAGCATTCTAGCTACTCTGTTGAGAATAAAGCCAGACATGATAGCCCATGCCTGTAGTCCTAGCTAAGCAGGAGGCTCAAGGCAGGAGGATCACTTGAGTCTAGGAGTTCAGTGCCAGTCTGGGCAGTAAAGACCCTTTCTTTTAAAAAAATAGACTGTGAGGACAGAAGTTTAGAAGCAAGAAAAGCAATTAGAAGGAAATGCAATGAGAGAGGTGGTTGGTAGCTTTGACCACAGTGGTAGCCCTTGAAATGGTAAAACATACTTGGATTCTGGATGAATGTTGAAGGTGGAGCCAACAGGATTTACTATGGATCAGATATGAGGTGTGAGAGAAGGAAAGGATTTAAGGATGACACCATGATTTTTACCCAAACAGGGGGAGGATAAACTTTGGATAAACTGTAAAAGGAATCTGCAGATAGAACAGATTTGAGGGAGAAAATCAGGAATTCCATTTTGGACACTTAAGTTTGTGTTTCTATCACATACCATAGTCAAAATGTCAAACTGGCAGTTGTTGACATGAATCTAGAGTTTAGGAGGAAGTCTTGGACCAAAAACATAAATTTGGCAGGCACTGGCATATGGATAGTTTTAAAGTGTCGAGTGGGTAAGTTCACCAACTGAGTCAG